AGAAAGGACATAACTGCTGCTGCTTTCTTAGCTTGGAACTGCTCAGTGGGGTCTGTTGTGCTTATTTCTTGGCTGGGAGGAACTCTTAAGAGACTGTCCTGGCAGAGATCCTCATGGAGGAGCTGAGTGTGGAGACGGGGGCAGGAAGCAGCTGTCTGAGTAGGCCATGTATGTCTGGACCTGCAAGGAAATATCGGAAGACAGCAAACTCTGGAGCACCTCTCCTCTGCATGTGCTTTTTGGCTCTTGCCTAGGTCCTCTGGCTGCCGGATGGGTTCAGGGAACAGGTCAAACAGCAAGCCCCAGGCATTCAGCAAATCTACGGCCGGAAGAGACTCCGGAATGAGAAGGAGCCGCTGTTGCATGTCAATCTGCCCTACCAGGACATGAGCTCTGAGGAGATCAGGTGAGAGCCCTGTGCCCAGGAGCCTGGGAGCTGTGGGGCCTGGGCACTGTCCCAGCTCTGTGCCAGGGACCAGCTGAGGCTGAGTGCTGGCGCGGTGCTGGCAAGGGCAGGGTGTGTGCTCCAGCCTTGCGGACAAACATGCCTTATCAGGCAGGGCTGGTGCAGGGGATGGAGCTGGCTGCAGTCCTCTGCCTTGCCAGCAAATCTGCCCTGGGTCTGGCTCTCCAGACAGTTGCTCCATGTGGCTGCAAATGCTGGATCATATCCCAGATAGACAGTCCTCTCTGGCTGTACGCTGAGTGTGCCGGCACCCTCCTGTCTGCTGCTCTGACCATGGCTGTCCCTGTGCAGGCAGTACCGCCAGGACAACATCTCTGTCAACTTGTACGTGGTGAACCAGCCCTGGCTCTTCTCCGTGCTGTGGTGCTCTGGGGTGAGCTCTGTCACCACCAACGCCTGCCAGGTGCTGAAGGAGATGAAACACCCCATCTGGCTGCTCGTAAGTGACCCCTCCATCCTTCACCCTGCCCCACAGCCCTGTGCCCCAGGCACTAGCGCGTCCCTATCTGTAGCAGCCCCGGGCAGCCAGAAGCCTGGAGGGTAGATTTTGCTCAGTGCTCTGCTGGTGTGACCCTGTGGAAGGGACTGCTGGCACAGCAGGCTGGGCTGTGCCCCCAGTACACCACTCCTGGCTGGTGTTCATGGCTTGTCTTGTTGCTTTTGCAGCCCAGCAGCACGTACCTCATGATTTGGATTGTTGTAGACTGCGTTTCCGTTCTTGCCATCCTCTGGGCCTTCCTCTTGGTGAAGTACGTTTGATCCCTTTCCCCCGCCCGGGGGAGGCGGTAGTGTGCCCTGGGTGGCTGGTACTGTTACCATAAGTCCATGTGCTGTATCAGTACATACCCAAACCTGGGCGTATCTGCTGCCACCCCCCTCTGGACTCAGATCCTGGGGGGTCCTCTCCTGTCTGGCTAAGTGAGACAGCAGTGTGTGGAGACAGCTTTTATCACCAGGCTGCAGCTAAAAATCTGGCCTGACCCCTCCTCAAGGTGCTGGGTGCCTTAGTTCACCCTTCCTAGCTCTCTCTGCACCCCAGGGCTTGCTGGGCTGAAGCTGGGGGACATTGGCCCTGCTCCTTCACCAGCGCTGCAGGCACGGAGAGCACATCCCTGTGGGTCTGCGTGTCCTCTGGGGCCCCCCAGCCTCAAGCTGGGAGCTTGGGGGAGGGAAGGGGGAGGCTGGACTGACATGCTAACATTGATCCTATTCCATCTCCTAGGAAATGCTCCCAGAGAAGACGGGCAGCAGGTGAGTGCGCACACATGTGAGCTCCCCTCCTTCAGAGCCAGGCTCTGCCTGCGGGACTCTCCCTGGCAGGCAGGCAGCTTTCTCCTGCCCAAAATGACAGTGGTTTGGGATGGCCGGGGGAGGGAAGGGAATCCCAGCCCAGGGAGTTCCTGTCCTGCCCTTAGCAAACAGCGCTGGGGAATCCCACATTCCCCAAGTCTCCGCAAACCTGCTTTTCAGGCTGCTCCGCCTGTCGCTGTGGGATGGTGGCTGCCAGCCGTGACTGTTTTTTCCTCTCTGTGTCCCCAGAGTCCGAGACAGACGTGCTGCTCACAAAGATCAACAGCTTGATGCAAGAGTGACCCCTCCAGCCTGCATCAGCCATGGGGAGGGGCAGCGAGAGCCCTGCGCAGCTCCAGCGAGGGGCAATCCTCAGGCCAGCTTCCAGGCTCCTTTCCTTTGCAGACTCCTTCCTGAGCTTCCCCTCCCCCCGTAGCCTTCCTGACTCCTTGCGTGGTGCACAACTGCCCTCAGCTGAAAAGACCTGGAACTGGGTTGCCTGTTCCCACGGACAGCGAGGAACTGGAGACTGTGCAGGGTTTTCCTGGGGCTGGCTGGTGCCTGGGGGCTGAGGGCTTCTCCAGCAGTGCTGGGGCCAAGATCTCTGCCCTGGCGTTTGGACACTGGTGGGGGATTTGAGTTGCTGTTTGGCGCAGGGGAAGGCAGTCTGTCACCAGCAGCTCCGCAGCCAGTGCTGGGAAACCTTGTTTAAAGTGCGGCTGCCCTGGGGGCTGCCCTGCCCCATGGCTTGAGGAATAGGAAGGGGGGGTGAAAAGGGGG